TTGGATCAAAAGAGATCATGTCTGTGAATGGGGACATGTGCGAGAGCAGCCTGAAGAGTTACTGGGCTCCGTCAATAACCGAAAGGGAGAAATGGAGCAACATTCTGTCCTCCAACCCAGGAAATAGCACCACATCGGGTCAGTGCCTTTCCATGTTGTCTGTCCTTACACACACATTAGCGGTAGTGATACAACTGTGGCAATATTGTTTCCCGTTTTTTTACATGTTGGGAATTGCGCTTTCAGATGTGTTATCTGCGAAATTTCCACCGCAAGGAGAGAGGATCGAGGACAGAAACGTTGATCTGAATATCCCTAAAGATTTCCCATTCACTATGTTGCAACAGCCTAGTTCAAACATCAACAACGGACTATTTTTTGTAGCGGATGAATGTCATTTTAAATCAGTTAAAACAATGTTTTTAATCATTAAAAACATGTTCTAAATCAATAAAAGCATTTCAATTAATATTGGGAGTCATAACGTTACTTTGTTGAGAATGTGGCCATGTAATAAGCGGGATAATGTGCAGCGACGCGTCGGGCTCCTGATCAGCCTGTCGGTGTTCTTTTCCCCATAATGAGCGCGTCGCTGCACATTATCCCTTACTTAGCTTTTTACTTATGGCGATTGCATTTACTTATTTTCCGCAATATACCAAATTCCAATGGGAAAATCCCTTTTCTTTTTCTTGATGGAAACCTTATGGCGCTAACGTCCAGGTCGGCCAACCAAAATACGGCATCACTGCAACGCCCTTAGACAGCAGATCTTTATAGTTATCCGAAATTATTAATGGGATGGACTCTTGTTTTCACATTAACAAACACTTATCATAAAAATGAGAGCCAACAGCTTCCACTCGAATTTCCTTGCACATATTGAAAATGTGACTATGACAAAATAAATGAATGAATGTTAAATCTTAATGTGGTATTTCATCAAAGTTCTATATTTAGGCGAGGGCGTAGTGAAACCATTTAAATCTAATTTGTTTTACGTGTCAGAAACAATCTGAGTCATTTGCTGACCTATTTTTTTTTGGAACTGGACACAGCGTTTTCTTCCTAGTATTCCACTGAGAGCTATAAAGCAGGAAAACTAGAGAGGGCTGGGGATTTACTAAACGTTAAGCATATAGAGTGTTGCAAATTATATTAAGATGTGTAATGCATCATCTCAGTTTTTGGTACAGTACATCTCGCCACTATTGTTCCTTGTTAACAGCTGAGTCAGGGATCCTGTGTCCACCCAAGGTACAAAGCTATTTCCCATGGCCTCAGCTGTAATATAGAGAACCTCCACTCAGCACTACAGAAATCATTACTGCTGCAGGAAAACCATAGGACAGCACCAACACACGTTCATGTTACAGAGAACAGAAAGCCTTCATATACATATTAGTATATCTAAGGGTATAGGGGTTTTTACAACTAATTGAACAGTCTTAATTTAAAAAAAGAAAGAAATATGATTCTAACCAATTCACCACAGTTGTTAATATGCCTGTGGACTGTACAGAATATGTATATAGCTGCCGGATGCTGAATATAAAGCAACTGTATTTACACAACACAACCCACTCGTGTTTTTATTGTCAATGTCAGGATATGGTGCCTTTATTAGCTAACAAACGCTACATCTAACATCATATGTTGATATTTTTATGCACTTCTGCACAATAAAATAATCTGATCGTTATTCCATTTATGGCAGACCTTACGAAGGAAAGAAAAATAATTGACAACTATCTGAGATAAGAGAATGTCCGGGCTTTTTCTGAGTTTGTTCCATAGTTTGTTCACATAATAAAGTGAATTTGCATACTGAATGGATCTAATACTGGATGTAGTGTAAAGTGTCTTTTTTTTTGTATTGATATATAACGCCATTAATACGTTTATTTTATTTCTCTGAAAAAGCATGGCTCCATATTAGAGAACTTATATAAAAAGTTATATAAAAATGGTGATTGGAATGTCACTAAAGCCCCGTTTGAATTAGATTTAGTTCTCTAGGGGAGGTGGTATGATATTACCAATGCCTGCGCTGGTCAGTGATTTTTCTGTCCAGAGCGCCTACAGTATGTGGGTATTTCTCTTTTTTAACAACAGTGGAATTCCATGAATGTTCAACATGTATTAACATGGTAACAGATGGAAAATCATGTCAGCCAAGACATCTGAACTAAAGGAATGGAAAAAATGAATACAGAAATGTTGCTCACCACATCAACGGCATTCACAACCGCATTCTCTTTTAAACCTGATGGTAAATGGACTGCATTTATATGGTGTATTTTCCAGCACCTTTACATACAAAAGGTGCCTACCAGTAAAGGAGACTAACATTCAAACATTCACAAATCGTTGGCCATTTCACCGTGAGCAATTTGGGGTGAAGGGTCTTTGAAGAGCACAACGTCATATTGACTGCAGTGACCTGGGTTTGAACCACCAACTTTGCGTTAAATGGAGATTGCCACAGTTGCCAAAATATGTCCTGCAACTTTACATTAAGACTAAAAGGTTCTTAGGATACTGTAGACAACATAACACTCTGGGGGGTGTTCTGGTGCACCAGCAGATGAATGCAGTAAAGGTAATATCATTGTGTGAAGTTTTGGTGCACTTTTGATAAGCACTTGGGTAGAGGCTATTCCTCTACTTGATAAGCCACCATCCAACATCAATGGTTAGGGTTAGGGTTATGTAATGTATGTATGCAAAACAACCAATGATAGAGCAAATGCATTAACAATCAATACACATCACCAAACCTGTCTCTTAAAGAGGTAACTTCTCCCAATTAAGAGTTGGCACGATTGGACAATAAAGCTTAAAATGTGTATATTGATTATATTGATAAAAGTAAATAATTAATATGATTTACATGGTTAATTATGTTTTTTAGCCAACAGTATTTCAGCCGGGTCATTGAGGGTTGATTCCCTATGTAAATTATATAAGACATTTCATACTGGATCAAATTATAATAGTGAAACTAATCATATTTGTTATAGAACAGCCAACCATGTATAAGCTGTTCTTTTAGTGTTTTTTTGGTGGAAATGGACTGAAAAGATAACTGTCTCTTAAATGCATCATTGTTATTGTGAAAGATTGTATAATTAAAACAGAGATTGTTGTATCCTAAATCACAGTATTGTGTACACTTGAAAGTTGGTGTGCCTCAAAAGGGCAAAATGGCTGAGGTGGAAGAAGTACTCAGGCCCTTTACTTGAGTAAAGGGTCAGTTTTACCCTCCGACGGACCCTGGACACAACGCGTACATTTATCAAAATCATCACTTTCAAAGTAAACACTCAGAAATACATGAACCGAGATAAGCAGGTTTTTGTGACGTCACAAGGGACTGCTTAAGATTATTTCATGCCACTAAAATTAATTCAGGCTTAAAAACTCAGAAAATCACACAATGTGTCTTCTGCTGTCAAAATAAAACCTACAATATTGTGCATGTGGGAATATATTTCAACATATCAGAAATGTGGAGCTACTGTCAAAGGAGCTCTAATTAAAATAAGTGTACAGCTCACAAACACAATGGTGTGTGTATGTGTGTGTGCTTGCTGGCTAAACACACACACCTAGCGTACATATGTAACCCATACGCTCTGGAGGGTTGCATCACCCACGTTCCCCTGCTTACAAACACACAGAAGAGTACACACCTCCCTCACTGTCTTACTGCACCTGTGTGTGTTAATGTGTCTGATTGTAATTCTGTCTCCTAAACTTGGTCTGAGCATAGTTGAGGTTTTGACATTTGGGTGAATTTCACCTTGTCTTTCCATTCGTACATAAAACGAAGATCATCTATGACTGGGGCAGCGCACATTAGAACCATAGGATTTATAAAATACTGATTCTGTGTCTATTCTATCACCCATAGGATTATGTAGAGTGGTTATGTAGCTAAAAGTTGGCAACTATGGGCGTCGCCATGTTGGCAGTTACGCAAACTCCTGACTATCCCAAAATTAACATCTTTGTTGGAGTTGAGGCAACTGGTGGTATGGCAGACAGCAAGCGTTCCAGACAAAATTCCTCTGTAACTCAAAGTGGTCAGGTCCTGAGAAAATGTAAGCCTTGACATAATAAAGAATACAAAAAATCATTAAAAAAAATACCCAACCGTACAGTTGTCATTAATAGGGATATGAGCTGTAGAGACGGTTGATTTGTGCCATAAGGTTGGGCACTTTGCCATGGGGAATGGCTCAGCCAGCCTCAAGTGGCCATTCCGTAAACTGCATGTGTTGGCACTTCCTGAAAAAGCTATTAGTTTAATAGACCTTGGCAAATTATCTAATCAAGGTCAATTTATTTTCATATGCTTCATCCAGAATCTTTAACTGCATCTCGTGGTCTTGACAGCTGATGGTATTAGCTCAGTTCTCATGGAGATGGTTGATCTGTAGATATGTGGGAAATGTAGCTGCCTCTTAATCTGCGCTCATCTGTATGTTCACATGTATGAGGTTTCGGTAGAATCAAACTCTTAAGCGATATGGGGATGGTGCAGAGTTCAGTTCTGGATTACTGTTTGGAATGTTGTCAAGTTAAGTGTGAAAAACATTAAGAGTCAACACAATTGGTTTATCTGGCCGAAAAGTCTACTTTTTTATTTTTCTGATAATAGTATTTCACTGCAATATGTATTTCCATTAAAGCTCTTGCACAAGAGTTGTTGGTCGAGAATGTCTCTATTGTGCTGGTGGGTCACTGTGCCATATTCTCACTTGGCATGGATACAGACCTGGTTCATGTCTTGGTTTAAGGCCAGGGCATAAATATAAATAGTGGGTTTCTGTTAGTTTCTTGGAGCTAAGTATAATTAATTTCCATTGTTTCAAAGCCAGGTGATTGTGACTCAATCAGTCCAGATTCGTGCTGGTATAACTTGTGTATTTTTCTAAATGTTCTTGGTAATGGGTAATGAATGAGTAATGAATTAAATACCAGATAAGAGTTACCCTTTGCCTACCGTTGTACAGACTATGGTGGTGGGGAGCCATCTCCTCTCCCGCTGCTCTCCTCTGCTCCCTGCCTGGGGATCCATCGCTAAACCTCCCCTTACCGTGCTCCATCCCGGGGCTGTGCTGATAGTGCTGGTGGTGCCGTATAGACTCCGGACTACCCACGATCACCCGCCCTTTCCTCATGTGCTCTGGGGTCCCCATCGCTGCAAGCATGGCCTCCGGACTTCCACAGCATGCCCCCCCCATGTGACTTGAGCGGTGTCTCTGACCCAGCTCTGGGCTTGACTTGGCGGTGTTCTTCCCACGGCCGGGTGATGCCTGCCCTGACATAGATAGCTGTTTGTGGGCTAGTAGGTCAGAGCTGTGGGGTTTTGGGTTGGAGTCACATGGTATCCTGGTGGGAGACTTACTGTGTTTCTCCTGGCTGTGACTCCGAAGGCCACGAGGGTCCAAGTCTGTGAGGGATCCCCCTCGGGGGCGGCACGACTGGGGGAATGTGTAGTACTCCGGGGTGGAGCTGTGCCTCCTTCCTGTGGATTCACACACATCTCCTGGTTTCCGGTGGTGTTCCGAAGAGATGCATCTTGACCCAGGACTGGTGTTGGAGCCAAGGAGGGGGGGTTTGAGGTTGTCTGGGCTGTCCGTGCTCCCTGCGCTGGAGGTGCTGCTTCCATCGCCTACATCCCGCAGCAGGCCAGGTGCTGGGGCACCTCCACCCATTTGAGACGAGCTGCTCTGACTGTCAATGGAGCTCCTACGCCCGGTTCCTCCATTCCCCCCCACAACTCCTCCAGCCACTGCCGCAGTCCTCTCCTCCTCCAGCATGAGGCACACCTCCTTGAGCTCCAGGTTTTCCCGGATGACTTCCAACTGGCGCTGCTCCAGCTCCTTCAGCTTCTGCAGGTAGATGGCCACCTCCTTCCTCATCAGGCCAGCGCTGTAGCGGCCCAGACGCTGCCACTCCCTCGAAACACGCTTTCCCTTCTGCCGGTCGTCGTCCAGGAAGCAGCACAGGTCCCGCAGCTCCTGGTTGTCCTCCTGCAGTTTCTGGTTCACGTCCTGGTTAACATTGGCACACAAAAAGAAGCACACACAGAGCAGAAGTAATACGTTTATTAAGTGTTTGTAAAATCGCACTTGTAGCTTAGACTTGCAACTGAACACTAAGCCAACGATAAAAATAATAAATATTGTGTACTGCCATTTAATATAAAATCATCTATGATTACGGGATACGATTTATTTTCCATTTCCCTAGCCCTAATACATAATTGTTGTCATTTGACATAAAGATATTTACTGATTTACTATGATATAAAACACAGAAAAACCAGCAAACATGACATTGGAAAGGCTAAAACAAGGTAATAATTGGCTCCATTTTGCATTTACTCAAGAACCATCCTTAAGGACTATTTTGACATACTTGTACTTGACTTGAGTATTTCCTATTCCAAACTTGAAAAGCAGTATTTTAGTTTTTACTGTACTACATTTAATTAAGACAAGCTACTTTATGAAAATAAAAACACATGATAAATTATATGATGCAGTACTGTATTACTTATATACCCTGTTTTTTAAGGGGAAATACAATTGGCACCACATGTATTTGTTGGTTATGCATCATTAAAAAAAAAAAGTCAAATATAATACAATACTGTGAAGAAGCTGCTCTGCATATTGAGTACTATGTTTGATACTTGACGTACATTTTGCTCATAATAAAGGGTTGTACTTGTAATCGAGTATTTTAAGACCTCATTATTTGTTCTATTACTCAGGGCCGTCCCACCCTACAGGAACCCCCCCCATCGACGCTCGCGAAACAGAGGGCCTCATCATCTAACTTTGCGTGGGGCCTCAAGTTGGCCAGGGACGGCCCTGCTTTTACTCAAGTAAAGGGTCTGAGTATTTCTTCCACCTCAGCCATTTTGCCCTTTTGAGGCCATATTTCAGATTGCTTCCTCTCTTAATGATCATACCCTACAGAAGATGATTAGGGCCACATGTGATTTTCTTTTTTTGGGTCTGACCAAAAGTGTTTTTTTATTTGTTTTATTCTGATATTAAACTCAGAAATCTGGCCCTTCCATCTCCCCCCCCTCACCTTTAGACTCCGGATCTCGTTCAGGTGCTGCTGGAGTCTCCGGTTCACCTCCCGCATCAGATTGCCGTGCTCCACGATGGCGCTCCTCTTCCCCGCCTCTGCCCTCCGCAGTTTCCGCACCAGCTCCTCTTTGCCCCACTTCAGCAGCTCCTCGTCGCTGATTTTGGAGATATCCTCCGCCGGACTCTCAGCGCTTTTGGAAACCTGCGCGCCTTTCTCCATCCTTTTAGTTGAGGTTAGCAAGGGAAAAAAGTCTGGTGGATTTCAGAAACACCAAACCAAGCCTGACAGGGATAACTCTGATCCTACTTATGTTCCCACCAACCCACCCATTTTTTTTTACGTCCGTGGATTTACATCGTTTTCAGTTGGGCTGAGCCTCGCCCATGCTGCGGCTCGGGTCTCCGCTCGGGTCTCTGCGGCTGCTGCTGCTCTCTCCCCGCTGTTAGAGCTTCAGTCCGCCCTCTGCTGCGGCTCTGGCTGTGCCCTCGCTCGGATTGGCGGGGCGGTTTCTCTCCAGGTGCATGCCTGCTGCCTTTGCGCACTCCCGCTGCTCAGTGCGCACTACCGCTGCCCGACCGCTGGGGATGAGGGGAGGGAGTGGAGGACTGCAAGGGGAGGCTGCAGGTGTATATCCAGGATGAGAAGGTGTGTTGAGTGGAGGAAAGAATCTCCCTTCTCTCGTTCCTTCACCCTCTACCTCTCTCCTAACGTCTTTTTTATCGGGTTGCGCCATCTGCTGATGGTATCCGGCCATTACTAAAACATAATAATGATAATAAACTTTATTTATATGGCAAAAACATATTGCAAAGTGGTTTAACATTAAAATACACTGACAGCAAGTTAATTAAACAAAAGCAACTAAACATAAAAACATATAGTAAAACACATAAAATAATACAACAAAAATAAATACAATACAAATAAATGAAAAATAAGACTAAAAATGAAATTACATAAAGGCAATTCTCAAAAAAAGTGACTTAAAAGAGCTGACATTTTGCAGCGCTGCTCTCCTCGGGACCTTGGAACGACCGACAGGAATGCCTCTGAGGATCTCAGGGTGGGGGCCTGGGGTGGAGCAGAGGGATCTAAAAGGTCAGATAAATAACTTGGGGCCAGGCGTCTCAAGGCCTCAAAGGTCATCACTAAAGTCTACCAGCCAAAGTTCCAGCACACAAATTGTATTTAGAAGTGCACAGCAGCTTCAGAGATGATACAAATAAAATATAAGCTGTCTTTAAATTAAAAGATCTTAGCGGTGGTGATGCGGTACTCGGTTTATCTAAGCCAGGGGTATCAAACTCAAGGCCCGGGGGCCAAATCCGTTTATTATAAGGTTAAATGCCACTTTACAGAAGCAGGTTGCCAACTACATGTCCCACAATGCATCTCGTTTCGTGACATGCGCACTGAAGAGACTTGCAATTATTTGCGCTGGACTTCTGCTTTCAGACTAATTACTAGTTATTATCCTATCCGATAATAATCAAATTCGGAGGCAGCAATGTAATATACAGTAATACATTATTTTATATATATATATATATATATATATATATATATATTATATAGTTATATAGTTACAACCGGCCCTTTGAGTGCATATGCGAATGTGGCCCGCGATGAAATTGAGTTTGACACCGCTGATAAGCTGTTTACCCTGCTGATTAGATTTGTACTTCAACTATTATAAAAGTGGTGTTAGTATGTAGAGAGTGTCCTGCTGATAAAAACGTGGGCCCTGTTTGTGCACCACTGAGCACCTTTCATATAAATGATGCAAATATTGCCCGACTCGATGAAATATACCCAGATATTCCTCCCCCTTTCACTTGCGTGAATTACAACTGATTTGACTTTAACAACGTTTAAGACTTCATCTTTTAACTTTGAGCAACACAAATCTGGTTTATGCTGATAATGGAAAAAAGGCTTTTTCGGCCCAATGACGTTATGGACTGACATGGAATTTCCGACACTGTTTGGCCACAACAAAATGTTGTTTCAGAATCAGGTAACAATCAGAAACAGGTTTATTGCCAAGTAAGTTAACAAGTAGGCCGACTGTATGAGGCAATAAACCGGTTTCTGATTCTTTTCTCTGATTCAGCTCACTTGGGGGCTTGCTCTTACACAATAGATCGAGAAGTTCTAGTCCTCATTGAATTGGTATTGTGCATCAAAACAATGAATCATTAAGGAGAAGACACTTTCGTTATCATTCCAAAAGAAAAACAGTGAGGCCAAGACTGCCTGGAAGAGGAACAATGTGGCAGGGCCTGTGTGACCTGATGGACTGGTTGCTTGTGATGGGACATTCCCCTCAGTATAAATGAGCAGAAGAGTGTCTGCTGCTGCGTCTGTGAAGAAACGTTAGAGAGTCGAGAGGATGCAGCTGTTACCCTCCCTGCTGATTCTGGTGCCGCTCTGCGGAGGACAGGAATGGGAAGCTCCAGAGTATTGCCGTGGCAGCCCATGCCCCCAATTCACAGTTTTTAATAAAACAACGGTAGGTTATTAGCGCAGTGCACACACAAACTGTTGTTTTTTGTACTTTCTCTAAAGTTTTATTAAAAACAATTTCTATTGTCTACAGGACTTTGAGGAGCGTGTGTATGTTGCCACTGCATGGATTACAACCAAGATACCCAACCCTACGGCGTATGATCTGATCGCTGCAAGTGCGAGGCTGAAGAGTGTGGCAGGTATGTCAGATGTCTTTGGTGGTTTACTAATCTATTGTCCAAAGAATGCTTAACAAAATCCCACAGTTTTTAGCTGAAAAGTTCAGAGATAAAGCCTCAGGAGAACCAATATATCTAACGTTTGCATAAAATAAATTGTATAGACATAGTGTCACGGTGGGAAGAAAACGGAGAGGGCCAGCACCCTTTGTTATGTGAATGTTCTTGGGTTATCTCTGGGAAGTTAGATCATACAGCATCTCTGTATAGTGTGTATATTCACTCTCTGTCCTAAACGGCTTGTTGATTATGTTCGGCTTGTTGCGAGACAGCCCTGGTACTTTGAGTATTTGGCTGATAATAGTTTTGCACTTCAACGCAAGTAACAGTTTGAATTACTGACTTTACTTTTAACATAGTATTTTAAGACCAAAGTATTTCCGAGTACTGATTAAAACTGGGCTATCACTATGTATAAACAATTAAATAGCATCTTTACTGTGTTAATTTTTAAAAGAATAATTTTGCTTCAGGTGTCAGGTACTGAAAAGGATTTGTGCCATGTGAATTTATTTTTGAGATCTGAGAAACTATGAGTTTTATTTTATATGAGGAAACATTGCCACTTGTTAGCAAAACGTTTCTCAGAATACTTAATTTAATCTCAGAATTAAAAAAGAAATGTCACTTTTTGTCGAATCTCAAAACATTTTTCACATTTCACTGCATTCACTTGCCATTTGAAAACCGTATCACACACCCAATGCAGACAACAAGAAGAACACTTGGCTTTAATTCGTCCCTGGAACTCATGTGTTGAGAATCTATCCTGGTTCTCATGAAATGGGCTGGGTGTATTATTGGTAGAAGAACAACAGGCCAGAGATGAATTTTAAATAAATGAAGCAGATTGTCCTCCAGATATTGTTGAATTTGTCTAACCTCTAAGAGACCGTTGCCTCCATCAAATGTCTTGCAAAAAATGTTTAGTTTATCCAAGTGTCTTTCAATGAAAGGTTTTAACACACGCTTGGCATCCTTAAATCAATACAAAAAAATCAATAGCTCCAGGGAATTGTTACACATTTTGTAATTGTTGACAAGATGACAACCTTGCGTACGTCCTAATGCTGTGCAGTTTTCCATATGATTTTCTTATTATCATTTCTCCTCCAGGTCACTTTGACGCCTGGCCGGTACTGGTCAACGTCACAAATGGCAAAGAGTACGCACTATCCTGGTTTGTCCCTCCTGACATGAACATACCTGAAATCACTGACCCATCAGTCCAACTGGAAATTAGACCTGAAGTCAACGTCTACGTCAGGTGAACAATAATGACTTATTTTTACAAATATTTTTGCTATTGAGTAGTGTTGGAATGAGTCCTAAACACCAAAATTAGTTAGTATTTAAACTTTTCTGGTTCCTTTGTCTCAAAGTCAACAGTTTTTTGAATGTCAGCCTTTCTTGAAAATGGCAGTTTCTAAAATGGCTAAATGAGAATAAAAATCATCATGCCAAGCCTCCTTTAGTTTAGCCGTGGTGATGTGAAGTCATTCAACTGGAAAAAAACCCGTCGCTTTTTGTCGAGGTAGCCCTTACAATGCTAGCTTCCGGGTTGGCCTACATTACCACTATACTGGAGTATCATTGGACATATTAGTCATCAAACAATAAAAAAATGTGTAAGATTTGTATAGTTCATAATTAGATAACAAATCTAAATAGGAAAAAAGTGTTATTTAAACTCAGAACTTACCATACCACATGTAACCTTTATGGGGCTCCTAATTGACTGTGGCTAAGAAAGAAAAAACCTCTTTACCAACTTGACAACACATGGGCAGCATTAAGAAAATACATTCAACTGCAACACCAAAAAGCATTTAGGTTAGCTAGGTTAGCAAGCTAGCTTACAGAAGATCTGCAATGATATCTGATCACATTTTTTAAATAAGCCCAAAAAACTTAAATTGTAGGTAAGTTTCCATTGAAATTGACAATTGGCTAACTTTATAATCCATGAATGTCAACAAGAGCTCCGGAATGCATCACTTTTTACCGTCCCCGTTTCCTTGTTTTTTGTATTTTGAGCTTCTTGCAGTTCTTTTATGCAGCGCTTTTTGTAAAACCAATGCATGTTTGGTCACAGCAGAGCGTTTGCACTTGTCAGCCACCATAGTTTCAACATAAAATAACACGTATGCAAATCAAAACAGAAAATAATTGAACACGTCAGACAGCATTCTGAACCTTATAGTGAATGAAAAAGGTATTTGATAAAACAATTAATTTGTGTCATTGTTTCTGCATCATATTAAAGGGTCTTTCGTGGCACTCCAAGCATCGACCAAGGAAAACTGAATGCAAAGGAACTTTGTAAAAGCTTGCGCAAAGCTGGGAAAACCTTCAGCACTGAAAGATATGCCGGGGCCGCCTATGAATCCTATTTCGCTCTTACTCACCACAATGAGGTCTGGATAGACAAAACCCAGTAACATGTGCATCATACTGTATTTAGTATCACTTTATTCATCCTCTATATGAAGATCTTCAGTGTTAGACTTTTGTGTAAAAAAGTGTAGTAAACGTATCAGAAATAGACATATAACAGTAAAAAATGCAGTATTGTCCCCTCAATGGTAAGGATGCACAATGAAAAATTGTTATTGTATTTTTTGGGGGGGGGGTTCTACCAAACACGATTATATGAAGTCTGCAGAATGCTGTTTGTCGGGCAGAAAAGGGTGTCATGTACACCTATTTGAGGAATGTTGTGATATTTCCCAGCAGCCCTAACCACTATGTATGTATAAATAAATCATAGTTTCTGATAAAAAATATATCTGCTGTAAACAATCAATAA